AGTTTACAATAACGTTATGATATAATTGTATTGTAACTTTTCCTTTAATAACTCTTTTCTTTATAATATTTCTCATTTTATCTTTTATGTTTTATAGACAGGTAACATCAGATCCATTTTGGGGTAAATATTTAAACCGGCATTTATTAGTTGGCAAAACGAAAATTAGTTTCAAAGCGTTCAATGGAAACTTGACAGCAAGCTGTGAATTGGTGATAAATGTTATTGATAGTGAACCACCAAAGGTTTACAATTGTCCCCACTATATTCAAGATGTGCTACCGAAAACTAAGAAGAGCAAACTGCTTGTGTGGCAAGAACCCACTTTTACAGATAACGTAAAAGTTTCGTCAGTATTTAAATCAAAGGTATGGAGTAGATAGTTGACAGGTACAGTAAGGATAACGTTAATCGCGGAGAGAGAGAGGTCCGGCTCAAAATCACTAAATCCCACCAAGGGGGTCCAAGTTTATAAAAAAAAAATGCCTCACGTAATTGTGCTTTCATCATTTGTGGCATTAACAAAAAATAAATACAACATCTAAATATGTCGGTAATATAATAAGGAGAGAGAGGACTTCCATTAATTGCGCAATGTCAAAGGGAGGAGATCTAATTTTGACCAAATTAGAAAAAGACACCTCACTTAATTACGCCTTTATTATTCGTATACTTCGTTTACTTTCTGTAGCGATGTGACTATTGGCGGATTTGCCATAAGACCCAGTAGGCCCGAGCCTAGGGCGGCCAGATATTAAGGGCGGCAAATCGTGCCAAAAAAAATCACTGATGATAACAAATTCATGAATTATGTATCTAGTCTATAATGATGGGTGCTGAGAAAGGGGCGGCACATGGCCTGGGGCCTAGAGCGGCTACGACTGCAAATCCGCCATTAGATGTGACCTTCAGTTTGACTGGCGCAAAGTAGAAAAGAACAGCACTAGGCCAGAAAAGGAAGGAGACAACTCTCAGCCAAACTCGTAGAGAGTAGGCGTTTACTATTAATTATGTGAAGTCAAAAGGGGGGAGAGTTCCGACAAAATCTCATCAAGTCTCAGAGGAGAGAGAAGTCAAATTTAAAGAACTAACTTAAAAAATTATGCATTCATCATTTGTAGTATTATTGAGATTAAAAAGGGGGAGGGATCCGGCATAAAATCGCCCAATATCGCCCGGGGGGTGATCAAAATTTAAAAAAACACCTCACGTAATTGCACTTTCATCATTCCTAACATTACCAAAAAATAAATAAAGCATTTAATTGCGTAGGTAATAAGGTACAATAAGGCGATAGAGGACGGCCATTAATTGCGTGAGGTAAAAGGGGTTACGATCCGACCAAACTTTACCAAAGGGGTATTCAAATTAGAAAAAAAACACCTCATTTCATTTCGTCTTCATCATTCGTAGCATTATCCAAAAATAAAAAAATAATCTTAATACGTAATGCAATAGGAATAATTACGATAACAAAAGGGGGGAGGGTTCCATCAAAAGCTCATCAAGTCTCACAAAGAGGGGAGGGGGAGGCAAATTAAAAAAGGCAGCTCACGTAATTATGCCTTCATTTTTCGTAACATTTAAAAATAAACAAAACATCTAAATACATAGGGAAAGCATTATGAAGAGAGAGGACACCCATTAATTACGTGAGGCCAAAAGAAACAGGGACCGGCAAAATTTCACCGAGAGGGGGTTCAAACTAAAAAAAAGACACCTCACTTAATTACGCCCTCATCGTTTGTAACATCTAAAAAATAAATAAATCGTCTTAAAGAAAGGAGACATCTATTAATTACGTGAGGTCAAAAAATGAGAGGGTTCAGGCAAAATTTCACCAAAGGGGGTTAAATTGAAAAAAAAAACACCTCAAGTAATTAATGAACGCCTGCTTAAGGGCAAATTTATTATTTATGCTGAGCCACTGTACATCGTAAACAAACTAAAACCATTCTGATGTAGCTATTAATGTTTGTAACAATGCATTTTTTGTATCTCATACCATTTAGAAATTTGGATAAAATCTAATACTTTATGTTCATCAAATTGTAGAGTCCTGGATCAGAATTTTATTTGGGTAAAGAAGAGGTCGTTTATGAGGCTTCGGATGAAGCTGGAAATAAAGCTGTTTGCAAGTTTTCCGTGGAACTCAAAGGTAATCATAAAACTTTCATTAGCTATAATTTTTACCAACATTTATAAATGCGGTTACCCATAGGTTGAGGTGTGATTTATTTGAATGCCAATTTTGCATTTTGCATTTGTATTTTAAATAGAACAAATTACTTCTCTGGTTTTCGCTGACCTTTTTCATTTATTTCAATAAACTACTAGTATTTATCAATATAGAGGTAGGTACAAGATAAATGCAGCAGGAAGTTTTTGTATTTGTGTTCTTGAAGTGAAACTTCTTTACGCACGGTAGGGTAAGTTCGTTTCATGCGAGTTGCTATGTAAAGAAATCATGCAACGCATTTCCACCGCTGTCTGTCCCTATGTATGCTTAGATCTTTAAAACTACGCAACGGATTTTAATGCGGTTTTTTTAATAGATAGAGTAATTCAAGAGGAAGGTTTATATGTATAATACATGCATATTATAGTAGAGAAACACTGATAAT